AGAAAGATGGGGAGCAGTACAGAGTGCTCCCAGAAAGATGGGGGAGCAGTACAGAGTGCTCCCTAGAAAGATGGGGGAGCAGTACAGAGTGCTCCAAGATGGGGAGCAGTACACAGTGTTCCCTAGAAAGATTGGGGAGCAGTACAGAGTGCTCCCTAGAAAGATGGGGGAGCAGTACAGAGTGCTCCAAGATGGGGAGCAGTACAGAGTGTTCCCTAGAAAGAAGGGGGAGCAGTACACAGTGTTCCCTAGAAAGAAGGGGAGCAGTACAGAGTGCTCCCTAGAAAGAAGGGGGAACAGTACAGAGTGCTCCCTAGAAAGACAGGGGGCAGTACAGAGTGCTCCCTAGAAGCAAGGACGGGGAGAGATTGTCCGTGTACTTCAGGCATGTTATCAAGAGGGACACGTCCAGAGGAATGACGTCCTGCTTGGTAAAGCAGAGGGCCCAAGTAAAAGAGAATGACCCTCAGTGAGATGGATGGACACGGTGGCTGTAGCCATGGGTCCAAGCCCAGCAGTGACCGTAAAGATAGAGCAGGCCACACTGGACACAGGGTCACTGAGCTGGGGCTGACTAACAGTGCTGAATGACAGTGTCCCCAGAGAGCCCCCCACTCGCACTTGCTGGATCTGCTCTCAGTGTTTGCCGTGTTAGGAATCACTTTGTATTCTGAGCAACCCTGTGTGTTAGGGCTGTGGTTGTGCCCATTTAACAGATGAGGAAACCAAGACAAGGAGAAGGTGACTTCCTCAAAACCACACGCCCGCTGTATAGAAAGGCTGACTCTGAAGCCAAGTGTACAATCAATCAAGCGTAAAATCATCAGAAACCAGTTGGACGGGTCCCAGCCACACGAAGGCCACAGATTTCACTAGATGCTCAACTTCAGCCAACAAAGCACTCTGGAAATGTCTATTATGTAAATAACGAGCATTTTACTCCTATGAACTGTACAGGCTGCCTTTTGCTCAGAAGATGGTGGAGGAGAGCAGGACTGGGCACGCAGGGTTTGCCGACAGACTAGATGTGAGGGAAGGAGGCAGAAGTGGTGAGCCACTGTCTTGGAAGCCCTGTGACAGTTCTCCTCTGTCCTACAGGGTCTCTGTGAGTCCAGACTGATTCAACAGCAGTAGGTTTGCTTTTGGTTTTATAGACCCCTGAAAGCAGTGGTGGTGCCGTGTGAAGAACTCAGCTGTTATCCAGGAGGCTGATGGTTCGAACCCACCAGTAGCACCATGGGAGAAAGCGGTGAGTTAGCTCCTGGGACGATTTACAGCCTTGGAAACCATATGGGGCCGCTCCGCTCTGTCCTTACGGTCACTGAGTCACAGAGGCTTGTGAGGGAGACACAGGCTGGTGGGAGACTGAGATTGAAAGCAAAGGAAGGCCACCCAGGAAGTAACTCCCAGCCTCCAACACGCTCTCCACCTCCCACCCCACCTACTTGCTAATCCTGGGCCTACGGATCAAGCCAGGCCACACAGCCTTGGTTTTGGGCACTTGATAAACCCACGTTGAAGTGTCTTAGCATTTTAACAGCCGGGTTGCCAAGTGGGAGCATATCCAGGGTAATGCTTTTAATAAGTAGAGAGGAAGACGGAACCAACCCCCTTCCACATGCCACTTCCTACTGGAGCAGCCCCGCAGGGTGCAGCAGGCCTGTACCACAGGGTTGCCACAGATGTTCATCTTTATGGAAACACACGGTCATATCATTCTCCTGCAAGGCAGATAGTGTGTTTGAACCCTTGACCTTAAGGTTAGCCTCCAAACCCTTCAATCCTTGCACCTCCAGGACTCCTAGAAAGAGGGCCCTGGAGAACTAACACCCACAAGCTGGGAGGTGCCAGGCTTCCACCGTAAGGCCAGTGCCCTTGGTAGGACAAATGATTAGGGGCTGGCTACAGAACAAGAAGCTAGCAGTTAAATTCTCTAAAAGGTGCTTTGGAAGAAAGGCCTGGAAGTGTGCTTCTGAAGAATCAGTCATTAAGCCTCACAAGAGCACCTGGTTTATTGTTTCTTGTTTAAAACTGGAGCCTCAGGGTTCCTCCCTCAAGAGACCTGGAGTAAAGGTGGAGGCCAGAGGCAGGTCTGGACCGAGCACCGGGAGGGAGCTCACAGCTGCCACCTGGTGATGAGGTGTGTCACTGCGATTGAGTCGGTTCCAACCTGTAGCAACCTGGTTTTTTGATGGAAGTAGGCTGCCTATCTTCCCACCTCGGACAGAAGCGTGGCCTCTGGGCTAGCAACCCAGCTCCCTGAGGACCACACCCCAATAGCTCACGTCTATGCCTCAAGCTGTTCAGAAAAGCACTTTTGTTTGGCTCAAATCCAGATGTTCTTTCCTGAGTAAGTAAGGTACATATTTAACTGTCTCCAGAGAATAAGCTCACCTCCCTGTTGGGAATAGAAAAGAAAAAAATCCCAAACCTGCCAATGACTGACCCTGACTCGTGCCAACTTTCATCAGTTTCTGAGGCTTCCCTGGAGTAGACTGCCTCATCCTTACCCCTGGGAGCAGCTGGTAAATTCAAACCTTTAACCTTTTGATTAATGGCCTGCCACCGTACCACCAGGGCTACCACCAGGACAGGTAGATATTTTTTTGTTATTGTTTACTATTCAGTCAGAACTGCCCCATAGTTGACCCTCCAGCAGGTTCTCAGGGACAGTCAGTCACGGGAGTTGACTTCCCATCCTTCTCCCACAGGGAAATGCTGTAAATACAACTGCTCAAACAGAAAACCAAACAAGTCTTCAGCCATGCTATGCAGCGAAATAAATTTGTACTTTCCTAAGAAATGTTACCCACCACAAGAAAATCCCAAAGGAAGGCACTTAATTAGGATGTAAGTGGTTTACTTATTATAGATACTTACTGGGCAACTGAGAGTCTTTTAAGAGGTGATGATTACCATAAGGAGTGCTCAGCTGGGGACCGTGTGGGAAATGACCAGGACGGGGACAGGTGGGAGTCTGCGCTTGAAGTCAGCTGTGTGTAATTTAAACAGCGAGACACAACATTGCCCCTCAACATGGTCTCGCTGATGTGATAGGTTCTAGCACTGTCTTCCTCCCTACCCAGATCTCCAAAGACGACAATTTTGCTGTTGCTCTTGTTATTCTTCTGAAGGATTCCCATTATCATTTCAGATCAATAACATGCAATACTACAAACAATACTATGAAATTGAAGATGAGCTCCCAGATAGAGGAAAAGAAGTTGAATGACTAAAGCATTGAGATGCCTAAGTCGGTGAGAAGACACCTTCCATGACTTGTTGGTTAATTCTTCTATGATGTCATTTTGACACAATAGGTGATCAATGAATATTCCTTGGATAAATGATAAACAATTCATTGGATAGCAGATATTTAGCCTAAGCAAGTGTCATTAGAATGTTCCAAACACCACATAGCATGGATGAATCTGAAGGACCTTATGCTGAGTGAAGCAAGTCAGTCACAAAAGGACAGACATTGTCCGAACCTGATACTATGAAGGGGGTTCTGGTAAATATTGTAGTTGTCATGTACCATTGAGTCAGAACCAACCCATAGTTAACCCTCCAGAGGGTTTTCAGGGACAGTTAGTTGCCTGGGAAGAGATTGTCCATTCTTCTCCCATGGAGCAGCTCATGGATTCGAACCACGTGCCTTCAGGATTGCAGCTTCTTGCCACCTAGTGGTAGGTAAGTGTGCTGTCAGTCAACCCAAAGGCAGGTGCTTCAAATCTACCATCTACTCCAGGGAAGGTGCGTAATCTTCCACATGACCCTAAGCCACTTAGCATCCTAGTAAGTTCCTTCCTTTGAGATAATCTTGGGGTGGGTACCATGGGGAACCTCTGGGCAGAGAGCCTCTGAAAACTTCCTGGACAGTCAACTAGGGAGTCAGTTCTGACTTGACGGCAAACAATTTATAGTTATAAATAGTTAGAAAGTTTGACAGGGAACGACAACTTTGGACGGTCACCAGGGATGGAAAGGGAAGGAGAGGGGACAAAAATCAGGAAGTTGTAGAAGGGAATCTATGACAAGGGGGTGCCGAGGTGTCGTTACCGGATCGATGCCGAATGGGTACGGGTTTCCAGAGTACACTCCTGGCACGGCTGGGTCCAGCTGCAGGAAGGGACTTGTTTCCACTAAGTGATCTCTACAGGAGAAAGGAAAAGAGCACCATCAGCCTGGGGTCAGAGAACTCCCCACGGCGCTGTCCACCAAGGGTTCGAGGCCAGCCTCACCGCACTGCTGGGAGGTGTAGCTTGCTCAGCTGGGCCTTTGTTGCCCATGGAGAAGAAAGTTTGAAATGTACTAATTGTGTGCTGAAGCCTCAGAAATCACCGCTCTGCTCCAGGAATCCACAGAGCGAGCTTCCAGGAAGTTCTCACTTGGAAGAATGAAAAACGTGGACAGTTATATACATGGGAGAAGAGGCCAGTGGCAGACACGTTGTGTACTGTACCCATAGCTGACCCTCCAGTGGGTTTTCAAAGCCAGTGAGAGGAGCTTGCTCATCTTTCTCCCACAAAGCAGCTGGTGGATTCAAACCGCATACCTTTGTGTTAGTAGCACAATCCTTTACCACCACAGCCAAACCCATTGCCACCAGCCAGTCATCCTGACTCACAGCGACCACGTGGGACGGAGCAGAACCGCTCCCAGGTTTCCATCTTCACAGAGACAGGCCATTGCCTCTTCCTCCCTTGAACCACTGGCCTTCTGGTTATCAGAGCACACTGTAACCAGTGCACCACCAGCACTCCCTGGAGTGAGCTTGTAGGAAAGACACGAGGTGCCACCCGCAGGGGATGGAGAGGCCAACTGGTGGACCTGCTGTCTATTCCCTAACGCTGCTCTGGTGCAGATACAGTGGTAGGATTCCTGGGCTCGGTCATGGCTCCAGGTGGAACTTTAGGTTATGCGAACACATTACATTCTTACCAGCAATGGACAAAGGGATAAGGAGGCGAGGGGCTCATCTCTTTAAAATCTTCCCCTCTGGGGGTGTGTCGCACATTGGGCTACTAACCAAAAAGTCACTGGTTCAAATCCCTCAGTGCTCTGAAAGAGAAAGATATGCAGTCTGCTCCTGTCAAAATTTACAGCCCAGGACCCCGGATGGAGGTTGGGTCACCAAGATTTGCAGCCCAGGACCCCGGATGGAGGGTCACCACAGGCAGGCTGGGTCACTCAGTGACAGTGCCTTTGTTTTTGCTCTCAGAGTTGAAATAAGTGGCTCTGGACAGAAAATGCCCTGCAGGGAGTGTGGTGTGCTGACTGCAGGGCCTCGATCCCATGCAGTTCAGCTGCTCTGATGGACCTTCCCAGGGCCAGCCTCCTGGCTGCAACAGGCCTGTCCACTGTGAGAATTACCTTCTCCTCAGGAGGCCTCACTGCTGTGGCCCCCACCAGCCTAGCCAGCGTGCACAGGCAGATCTCAGAGGGCTCCAGGGCTCAGTGCCAGATCACCCGGCACAGAAACATGGCACCAACATCCTGCGGTCCATTCAGTGCCCAATAGTGTGATGCTGTGTACCACTGAGTCGGAACCGACCCATAGCTGACCCTCCAGTGGGTTTTCAGAGGCAGTTAATTGCACGGCAGATTTCTCATCCTTCTCCTGTGGAGAAGCTCGTGGATTTGAACCCTGTGCCTCCACGATTGTGGCATAGGACAGTAGGCAGAGCTCCCTCATATTGGGATGAGGAAGTTCAAAATAGTGCAAGAACAATAGAAATGGTGCAGTAGACGTGCTTGGCCCAGGGTCACCACCAAGCAGCCTTCCTGGAGAGAAAACGTGGCCTGGGGGCTGCAGTCCAGTGGAGCACACTCGATCGCAGCCTCTCTGTCCCCGCAGGACATGGGCATGCACGCTGTCCACAGCCCATTGCCGGGCAGCTGATGCCGACTCGCGGTGACCCCGGAGTGGCAGGGTGGAGCTGTGCTCCAGAAGGCCTTCAGGGTTGATTTATCACAAGGAGATTGCCAGACCTTTCTTCCATGGCACCGCTGGGCGGACTTGAAGTCCAAACTCTTGGTGATCGGTCCCTTTGCACCATCCAGGAACTCCAGGACTCTTTCTGAGTTGAGCTCACAAGGAAGGAATTTGGAGGAGCTCTAGTAGTTTAGAATGAAGGAGTCGTGCTGCCAATACAAAGGCACATCATTTGAAGCCACCAGCGGTTCCTCCGTTCTGATTTACTGCCTCAGAAAACCTGCTGCTGGGTCAGCTATGGGGTGGTTTGACTTGACGGCACAAAACAACAGGTTTTAAAGACACATGCATCACAACGGGCAGCAAGCTTTCTAAATTCCTCCGTAGATGGAGCTCGCTACCTCCTGACTCCCTCCTCCTCCTCCCCTGACCCTGTGGACCCTCATGGAAGCCGACTGGGAAGTGACCATGCTGCTGGGAAGTGACCGTGCTGCCTGGGAACTCACGTCCATGTGCCGTTTCTGAACATGGGCCGGACGCTCCAGGAGGAGCCGAAGATGTTGAGGGACTTGGAGAAGCAGTCGTTGTAGATGAGGCCGGTGTACATGGAGAAGACGCCCATGACCAGGATCAGATAGCGGCCGTGGAAGAAGGTGTTCCAGATCTGCCGAGACACAGAGGCAGTCACCACCTGGTCTCCGCCCGGCCAGGGGGGCCTGCACCAGGCCGCGGTGGCTCCCACACCGTGGGGTACCCGAGAGGGACAAGGGGCCCAGCAGAGAGAGTCACATGCCACAGAGCCACCAAACGGAGACCACAGTGTCACATAGAGATAACTCCCCACTGGCCAAGGATGGTCATCTCATACCGGGTAATGCTCGTGGCCCCAAAAGTCACATGGTGCAAATCCAAACATCCACAAGGTCAGGTGCTTTAAAAGTAGCCTGAACAGGACGCTTGTGACCATTCAGAACCTGCCTGCTTTGTGTACCCTGAACACGTGTATCCAGTGTCTTCTGGTCACTGACAGGATAGACTCTGCCACCAAGACCCCATTCCCCTGCAGCCCTTCTGCACACACCACCTGGACAGGTGAGCCCCCTGCCTCTCTCACTCTCCAGGATCACCCTGGCCTCTTCCCTCTCTGGTGGCCCCTTGGCTGCTTGCTTTCAGGGTCAGGTGCTGCAGGGCCTGTCCCCGCATGCGTCAACGTCAGCCCAAGGCCCCCAGACAGCTTGTCATGCTCCTCGGTCATCCTCACATCATCTTCCCCCCACCAGTCCCACCACATGTGAGACTCACACAGCTCACATTCTAGTTACCTGAGCTCACATAGCACATGAGCGCATCCTAGACTTGCTGTCATGGAAATGAAAACACTCGGGCTGTGCAGGGCACAGAGGGAAGCGTTTGCTCACTGAACCTGGTGGCAGGGGGAAGAGGCATGTGCGAATCCTCTGTGCTCAGCACAGTTTTCTTTTGATCCTAAGACAGCTCTCAAAATTCGTGTTACCTTGCTCTGTGCCTTGCTGTGGTGGGTAGTGACTGGGGTCTCTGGTAACTAATGAGCTGTCTGAGATGCAAATTATCTTTCTTTGGAGGGAAGGGGAGTGAAAAAAAAAATCAAAGGCTCCAGGAAACAATTCTTCACAAGGACTAACAGACAGAGAGAAGGACTGACAAATGGACAGTAAGAAGAGGCTCCTCTCCAGAGGTCAGAAGACTGGATGGTGCCTAGCTCCCATGTCCAACGGGGGCCCCGGACAGGATGGGAGATCAATGCAGAATAGACTCAAAGTGTCAGACTTAGTGGTCTGATGGAGGCTGAGGAAATCCCCAGATGTGGCCCTGAGACCCAGAACTGAACCCACCCCCAATCACCTTGCAACCAAACAACAGAGGCCACAGTGACAGTGACACTTGTGAGGCATGTGCTCCCCAGAACATCATCATGAGATGATCTTTAGTTCAGATGGTGTAGACCCAAGATAGTACTTTGGTTCTTGTGGATTTGTTTTCATTTTATTCAACTTTAATATAAACTAGCACGTGAATAATTGATGGTCTATTCCACAGTCAGTATCTGGCCTGGTCTGGTTTTCCCCAGCGATTCTTCTCACAGGTGTAATCCATTTGATTTCTATGCAGCCCATCAGGTGTGCATGATCCATGTGTATATTGTTGCCATCTGTGTTTTTTAAAAAAAGGTATTTGAGAAGAAAACCATTGAATGTACAAAATTCACTCAATCTCCAACATCGTTTCTGTCCCCAAGTCGATAATTTCCATCTATTATTCCTTCAATTTTCTTTCCTATTTTTGCATCCCAGTCACCGATTGTTATGACTCCATCTTGACTGCATGTTTGGTCAATTTCAGACTGCAAAAATTGACATAATTCTTCAGTTTATTTCTATTTGGCCTTAGCTGTTGGTGTGTACATTTCAGTAACAGTGGTGTTAACAGGTCTTCCTTGTGGGGGTGTGGATAGTATCCTGTCACTCACAACAGTGTACTTCGTGACAGATCTTGCAACAGTCTTTTTAACTATGAATGCTCCCCCAGATGCTCTGCCGGGGAAGGAGGAACAATCTCCTCCTGTACCAGTCAGATCTGATTTGACGGTACACACAAAAAAATAATGAAATAAAATAAATTAAAAAACAAAAACTATGAATGCAACACCATTCTTCAATTTCTCATTCCAGTAATATATGACTGTCAGTTTTAAAGCAGACAATCCCAGGTCATCTCAGCTTACTAATACCTAGAATGTCTCTTTCTTTTCCTCCGCCGTCGTAGTAAGTGTGGCTCCCTTTTGTCTTCATTATGTCTTCTCACAAGACTTTCAGGATTAAGAGGTTCCTGGCCAAGAAACAGAAGCAGAACCGGCCCATTCCTCAGTGGATTAGAATGAAAACTGGCAATAAGATCAGGTACAACTCCAAGAGAAGACATTGGAGAAGAACCAAGCTGGGTCTCTAAGGAGTTGCACGCGTGATGGCAGCGCACATAATGATCCTCAGTTCATTAGTATCGCACTGTGTCAAGTTGAATGGCCATATCGGTTAATCTGATAGTGATTGTCACCATCTGATCACTATCCATGGAACGTGCTTTGTTATGCACCCACATTTTCAATAAATATGAGACCTGTGGTGTAAAAAAAAAAAAAATACCTAGAATGTCTATCTTTATGCAGTCCATTTCATTTTTCACACAACTCCCAGTTTTTCTATATTAATACTTCGTACATTCCACACTCCAATTATTATTAGTGGGTGTTTGCATCTGTTTCTCCTCATTTTTTTAGCAACTTCTCATTCCATTTCTATAGACACCCACATCATTCTATTGTTCACAGGACTTTCTTGAATGATCCAGAAAGCACTTAAAAAAAAAGATGGAAGGAATATACGGACTGATTCTAACAAAAATAATTCATTGACACGGAAACATTTAAGGAAGTAGCATACGATAAAGAGCCAAAGGTGAGGAGAGGAGGGAAGAAGTTCAAGCTGCATTGAAAACACTGACAAAAAAATAAGGCACAAGGAATCGGTGGGATGATTGACATGCTTCCACGAACAGATGCAGCCCTGGGCATTGTCACTAGTCTGTGCCACGAAACTCAGAAGATGGCTACCTGATCAACTGACCGGAAGAGAGTAATATTTTGTCCTATTTCCAAGAAAAGTGATACAAAAGAATGTGAGAATTACCAAACAATATTATTAACATCACATGTAAGCAAAATATTGCTGAAGATCATAAAAGAAAGGCTGAAACAATACAATGACAGAGAATTGCCAGAAGTTCAAGCTGGGTTTCGAAGAGGCCGTGAATCGCAGATCTCATTGGTGAAGTCAGATGAACTTTGTCTGAAAGCAGAGACTCTCAGAAGGATGTCTATCTGTGTTTTATTGACTCTGCAAAAGCGTTTAACTACATGAATCATAACAAATTATGGTTAACATTGAAAAGAATGAAAATTCCAGAACACTTAATCATGCTTATACAAAATCTATACCTGGACCGAGAAGCTGTTGTCCAAACAGAGCAAGGGAACACTGCATGCTTAAAATTAAGATGGTGTGCATCAGGGCCATATCGCTTCTTAACACCTACTCAATTTGTACGCTTAGCAAGTCATTTGAGAAGCTGAATTTTAAGAAGAAGAATGTGGCATCAGGAGGGAAGGAAGACTCATCAACAACCTGTGTTATGTACATGACAACATTGCTTGCTGGAAGTGAGAAGAACTTGAGGTGAAGAAGATCAATGACCACTGTCTTCAATATGGATTATACTTCACTATCAAGAAGACAAAAATCCTCACCACTGGGCCAATAAACAACATCATGATAGATGGAGGCGGGGGGTGGGGGGAGATTGAAACTAACAGCAATTTTATCTTACTTGAATCCAAAATCAACACTCTTGGTACTAGCAGTCAGGATCAGACCAAACGCATTGAGAAAGTCTACTGTCAGGGACCTTGCCAAAGTCCTGAAGAGCAATGATGTAAGTTTGAAGAATAAGGTGTGCCTGATACAAGCTAAATGCTTTCCAATGACCTGCTATGCATCTGAAAGTTGTTGAAGAAGAGTACTGGATATATAATTAATTGCTGAAAAAACAAACAAGTCTGTCTCAAAGAAAGTGCAGTTAGGGGCCCAATGGAAGAAAGGATGGTGAAACTTTGTCTCACACACTTTGGGCATGTTAGGAGAGGCCAGTCCTTGGAGGAGAACACCATGTTTGGAAAAATTAGGAAAAGAGAATAAGACCCTCAATGAGATTGATTGACACGTGACTGCAGCGGTGGGCTTAGCGGTGGCAGGATGATGAGGACGGCACAGGTTCAGGTCTGTTTTTCATAGGGTGACTATAAGTCATCTTGAACTTGATGGTCCCTAGCTACAACGACGGCGACATCACTGTGCAGAGCTGTGAAAAGTCTGCTGAGTGTGCACTTGAGATTGAACAAGGTGATACTTTGCTCACAGATAACAAACAACCTGTGTGTTCTGCCATCTGGTTGGTGGCATATTTTCCACGTTTTTTGCATTTCCTGAAATGTCACTCTTTCAAATGGGCCCAGGCATGATGCTGAAGTGCTCCCTCATTTAAGACACTTGTGATGTTCCTTATAGAGCAAAAAGGCATGCTAGATGGCCTTGCTTAGGCATGAGATGCGGTTCGGACACACACGTAAACTGACCGGCTGATGAAATGCTGTGACCTGTGGCTTGAAGGACCAACTTGTAGGATCCAGTGTTCATAGTAGCTTTGTAGACTATTACCACAAGTAACAGTAATCACAAAAAGTTTGCATTTGAATGGAAAAAAAATCATTCATATGCAAGACCTGATCCTAATCTTGAAAACTCCTTTTTTGTGTGTATAGTTATGAAAAAGACACACAAAGATTCACTGTGATGTTCTCTGGTGTCCAGATTGTTATAGTTTCCAAATAGTTACAATCACTATGTATTGCTTTTGTAATGGGGGAGGGGAACTTGATGTTAAAAAAAATTAAAGAAAAGCAATTTGCTCTGTAAACTTTCATTCAAACCACAATTAATAGAGTTTTTGTTGTTGGCACAGGAAGAAAAAGCTTCCAAATGACCACTTCTGACAAGTGGTTTTAGTAGATTTTCCTTCCTTTTTTTATATCTCATTTTTCTTATAAAAAGTTTCATTAAACGTGATGTGTCTATGGGGAAAATAAAATATGTGTCTTGACTACTCAACAAGGAACCTCAGGGCAGCGGAAGAGGCACCTGCTGGACACCCACCTCATTGCTGGACTTCTGGGCGAGTAAGGTCCTCTCATTGAGGACCATCCACAGCGCAGCCAGCAGCATCACCGCCCCGTGTCCACAGTCCCCGAACATCACGGCGAACAGGAAAGGGAAGGTGATGATGGTGTAGGGAGCTGTGGGGACAGACAGCCGCCTGAGTGTTCAGCGCCCACTGGCGTCCCTGACCAGCCTCCTTCCTGCTGGCCCCTGCTGGCTCCTGCTTCACTTCCTCAAACTCAAACATCCCCAAACCACCTGTTCTCAGGGCATTCCAAGTCGTGGGGCCCACATGGGTCAGAGTAAACCAGGCTCCACGGGGCTTCTGTGGTTGATTATTTCAGAAGTGGATTGCCAGGCCTTTCTTCCGGGGCACCTCCATGTGGATTCCATCCTCCATTCACTCATTCAGTTAGCATAGAGCTTGCTAACCCTGTGTACCACCCAGACAGTCATACTGTCCTCCTGACAACTGGGCTGAGCCTGGGAGAGGGACTTGCCCAAATCACCAAGTCTGACTGGATGGAAAGGCAAGTGCTCCCTCTGGGCTACCCTCACCCTCTCCTGGGCATCTCTGCCTGTTCACTGTGGTGGACACACCTCCAGCTCTTACTCCCAGTCATTCTCCATCCCCAGGGTGCCCAGCTGCAGGCCATGGGTCAGCCTGGTCCAGGCTCTGGTCATCTAAAGGGCACCTTGTCTAGACAGAGCCTGGGGAATCTGAGCTCTGTGTGCTCCCATCTCTCACAGGGTAACTAGAGTCCCTGGTGACACAACGGTCATGCTCACGGCCAGTAATCTAACAGTGGTGGTGGGGACCCGCCCAGGGTGCCTCAGAGAAAAGGCCTGGTGTTCTGCTTCCAAAGGACAGAGTCTGGAAAGCCTACAAGGTGATCTACTCTGCACTCAGAGTCAGCCATCGGGAACGGGAGTCGGCTCGACAGCCGCTGGTCTGGCCTTTTTAGCATTTTGAAGACATTTAGTGCCGTGGTGCTTGGTGAAGGAAACAAGTGGGTTAGCTGTATGGGAGACTCTGTTTCAGGGACAATCAACAAAATTAACAGTAAATAAATCTCTCATCATTTGAGCTTTACAGAAGATGACTGTGGCTGGGGTGGAGTGGGCCTGTTGCTCAATGTTCGGCTTCCCTCAACTATTGTCTTTAATCAAGCTGCTTTAACTCTGCCTCCCTGCAAACACGCTGGCCCACCTACATCATCAACAGCTGCGGGAACCAGCTCTTCCTGGTGTAAATTAGGTATGTGAGCCTATCCAAGCAGACTGGCTAGTCTCACCATTAAATTGAGCGGATTCGGGGGTGGGGAGTGTGGATCTCATCACCAGGAGAAGAGGATAAAGCAGAGAATGGACAAGTGCACCCTTCAGGGCCAGAGAGTCCTGCGCCAAGGATTGTATCCTGCTGCCGACTTGAACTCAGGGATTGTACTTTACCATTAACTGAGAAGCTCGCTGAGCTGAAGGTCTGTATCTTGCTAGCCTCAACTATAGCTTAACTTCCGTAATAAACACCTTAATTACAAGCATGGTTCTGTCAAGTCTGTGTGGTCACCGCAATGGATTTGGAACCCAAAGATTGTGTACAGGAGTGCGGATGATCAGGTCTGACCTCATGGGAATTAAGTTTTATGTTGTGGATGCTGTTGAAGGTGACGGCTTCTCTTTTTGGAGCCAATGGAGGTCAGACCCAGCATCCCCACGCTGCCTCTTTTTACAACGATGCAAGACATGAAGAAACCAAGGGAGGGTTTAGGTGAATCTGGTTTTCACCAGCTCCCCTCCGTGGTCACCTGGAGGGGAGACCTGATGGCCCTCTACTTCTCAGTTGCCCCCGACCCCACCCCGTGTGGCACACGGGCCATTGTTGTTGATGTTGTTGTTGTTTGGTGCCGTCGAGTTGTAGACGGCTCATAGCGACCCTATGAACGGACAGCCTGAGCACTGTTCGTACATAGAGTTTCCGGAGGCAAGCCATTTTGGAAGTGGATGCCGCTCCTGCTTCCAGCACAGGCCATTACCTGGGTTTATCTCCCGGTAGGTGCCCACTCCATAGGCATCCACAATGTTCTGGAAGCCGGCTGTGAACTTGTTGGTCCTGTTAAACGTGGGAGGTGCCGTTTTAGATTGTACCACAGTGAGGATAGGGGCCATGGCCGAGCCACTCTGCTCCTGCAAAGAGAACCAGAGACTGTTTTCATTTCCAGAGGGGCCTAAGGCTGAATGTTAGCCAAGGACAAGAACCCAGCCCCCACCATCCCCTGAAGTAACTTGGGACAGCTTGACATTTTCTGGGAATCATGACACACAAGTCAGCACCTGCGTTAGTTACCTGGTGCTGCTCTAACAGAAATACCACAAGCGAGTGGCTCTAACAAACAGAACTTTGTTTTCTTACAGTCTGGGAGGCTGGAAGTCCAGACTCAGGGCCCTGACTCGCTCTCAGGGAAGGTTCTTTTTTCTGTTTGCTTTGTTGTTGTTTTGGGGCAGCAGTGGGATGTGAAAGGAAAGGTTATTTTTGTTGTCCTTTCTTTAGTAAAAGTTTACAAATCATGTTGCATTTTTTTTTTATGGAAAAGTAAAAGAAAAGATTCTTTCATTGTTTTACAAACCCTCCCCCAGGTCCCCTCCACCATGCAGCCATCGCTCTAGTCTCCTGTGATGACAGAAATACCCAGTTACATCTCTCCTTTAGACGGTTCTCTCCCTCCTCTGTTTCAGTATCATGTTGCATTTTCACTCAATCATTCATAGGCATTTTATTTTAGAACATTAATGAAAATTGATGAATGTGGAGCAAGGTTCCAGTCCGCTGCATCGGAGCATCCAGTGTCCACTGCAGCTCTCCATGTGTCTTGTCCTCAGTCTTTCCCTGGTTCAAGGTTTACCAACGGCCTTTCAGTCAACAGCCACTTAGCCTCCGAGCCACTGCTACAAGTTGACATCCATCTATTCTGTTCAAACCCAGCCTGAGAACAGAACCTTCCACCTCCTCCACCCTGCAATGGAAGGTTCTACAACGTGGACTGGATCACACGGGCACAGGAATAAAAGCAGGTCCCCTTCACCCAGTAAACTCCTTCCAGCGCTCCCTCCAGCCCATGTTCACCCCTCCAGCTCCGACATCCATCCTTCTGCTTCTCCTCACTGACCCTGGCTCAGCTCAGGTGTCAACTCATCCAGGAAATGCCCCTGTGCTTTCAACCTGAGGTCAACTGTGCCGTCTAAGACTCTCATCTGGATGGCAATATGGGGGTGCAGGACTGTGTGGGGGTGAGGAGGACATTGATTCAAAGGTACCCGTAGGAACAGGACTGTGCTCACATTTTGCAGCCAGTGCCCCAGGACCCCCACCTCTGACAAAGGGGCACGGCAATGGCAACCTCCTCCAGGGCTTTGCCTTGGACTCCTCCCTGCCCTAATCTCATCATGGTCACAGAAGCCTGCTTACTGCCAACTGCTCAGAGAGCCCCCCCAGTGACAGCTTCACCCATCACTGCTGCCGTCACGGCCTCCTTACCTCCTCCACCATCACTGCCCATCATCACAGCCTCCTCCTGTCCACCTGCCGTCACTGCCCCATTATTACAACCTCTTACCGTCCACCTCCCATCACTGCCCCACCATCAAGGCCTCTTCCTGTCCACCTGCCATCACTGCCCCGTTACCACAATCTTACTGTCCACCTCCCATCACTGTCCCACTGTCATGACTTCTTACCGTCCACCTCCTACCCGTCACTGCCCCACTGTCAAGGCCTCTTACTGTCCACCTCCCATCACTGTCCCACTGTCATGACCTCTTACTGTTCACCTCCTACCCATCACTGCCCCACCGTCAAACCCTCACCATGCCCAGCTCCAAGGCCTTCTGGATGCGTGCCGTGTCTGCCACCGGGAACCAGATCTCGGCAATGACACACTGCTGGGTGACGTCGATGTTGCACAGGTTCAGGGTGTGGTAGACGGCCTTCATCTTCTGCACCTGGATGGCCCACGACTGCCATTTGGCGGCCACCTCCTGCAGCAGGCGCTGGCGATGGGACTCCGTCTGCGTGATCACCTAGAGGCCGAGGGGAGAGTACAGGTGGGGAAGCGGGGTGTTTGTGGCCATGTTTGCAGTATGGATGCTTCAGCCTCCTAAACCCAAACCCACGGTCATCAGAAAGTGGATTCTGATTCCGGCTGCCGTGGAAGAGGGTGCAGGTGTCCTGGGGTGGCGTGTGGTGTGAGCTGGACATCTAAGCCAGGCCGGCCCTGCACAGTGGGCTGCACTGTTCCCAACGGTTCAAGGATAGGAATCCACCAGGTGCTCTGCGAGAGGCAGGAATCTCCTCCAGACCAAATTTACAGCCTCAGAAACTTAATGGAGGGTCCCAGTCAAAGCCACCTCAGGGCAGGGTTTAGGTTTGGTTTGGGACAGAGTGTAACGTCCCCCACAGGGTTCCCAAGACTGTAAATCTTTATGGAAGCCAATGTCTGCCCTCTCCCCTCCAGGGCAGCTGGTGGGCGTTTTGGTTAGAAGCTGAGCTCCGTGCTCCTTCAGTTCACCTCCTGTCAGAGGCTAACCCTGTGACCAAAGACCATCCCGCCTGACCAGAACCCGCTGCCATGGTGCTGACTCCAAGCCATGGCGACCCCAGCATGTCTGGTAGAACTGTGCTCCCCGCAACTTCAAAGGCTGGTGTTTTTAGAAATCGATCACAGGGTCTTTCTACCCTCTGGGTGGTCTTGAGCCAGCAACCTTTCAGTCAGCAAACTCGTTAAGCTCTGGCAGCACCCAAGAACTCGTCATCCCTCAGTGCCCTACCAAAACGCTTTACCTAATCTCTCCCCTCCATGGTAAGTGGATTAGTGAAGGAAGGAACAATCGGGCAACTTGGTTTACCGAGGATTTATTTAATGAAATCTGATATTATGATCTGGGTACCCAACCATTAGAGTAACTTTATCCACTCACCATTTCCACACCGCTACACAAATCATAGTACACACAAGTAGAAAGGAATCATAATTTCTTTTCCATTCACCTCAGGAAGTTTTCAAAACACAAAGCCTAGGGTGTCTGGGTGAAAGAATTTCAAGGGTAATTGAATCAGAGAAATAAAATCCTCTTGACAAGTGACTAAGGAGGATTGGAGTGCATTTAATAAGAGACTGAACACGTACTTCTCGGGAAGGCAAGATGCCTCTCAGCCTGAGAGTCTTTGAGCACACACTTCATACCCAAGGAAATCCACTGGGGCTCTGGGGCTCTGTGACCACCCCAGTAACCACAGTTTCAATCTACATTTCCATTTAAAATTCCGCTCCTTAGTGGCACAAGCCAAGTCTCAAGTGCTCCAGGCTCTTGTGACACAAGGCTACTATAGTGGACCAAGCAATCTTTGTAACATTGCTGTCACTGTAGAAAATTCCAGAAAGCAGTACTGACCATGCAGTTTGAAGTAGGCCCAGTTCATGCAGACATAAACCACTTTCACTATGTAAATAATTACACAAAAGTAATAAATCTGATCAAACAACTGGTGGAAAAGAATTGGTTTCACTGCCTGTGCAAGGTAACTGGCTAATTGTCTCATAGGTGTGACCAAGAACCAGGCAGGCAAGAAGGGACTCATGACCACATGAAAGGAATCCTCTTGGGGGCATAATAGCGCTTTGTATGTTGGGCTGATAACCGTAAAGTCAATGGTTCAAATCTACCAACTGCTCTTTGGGACAAAGATGAGGGAGTCTTTTCTCGTAAACAGCCTCTGACACGCGCTGGGGGGTCGCCATGCGTCAGCATGGACTCAATGCAGTGGGCTTGGCTGGGAGGCTTCTTGTTATTGTTGTTGCTACCATCACATTACAAGCAACCCATAGATAACCCTCCAATGGGCTTTCAGAGGCAGTCAATCTTACAGGAGGAGACTGCTCATCTTTCTCCCCCAGAGCAACTGGTGGATTCGAACTGCATACCTTTGGGTTAGCAGTGCAATTCCTTACCACTAAGCCACCAATGCTCTCCACTTGGTGGCTAAATGAGAATTCTCTGAGCAGATGAGGTTAAAACTGTGGTGCATCTGAGCCCAAAGTGTGACAAAAACAAGGAAACATGCTTATTGAACTCTGCTTCCCAATAATGGAAACTTCCAGGCCAGCAACTGGAAAGACAGCAGCCTTCCCGCACAGGCCCAGGGTAGCTGTGACGTGCAGGGACAGGGGAGGGTGCCCACCTGCAGCCCCCACCATGCCCCTCGCCTGGGATGGCACACCACACTTACAATGTTCAGGTCTTCCAGCCTCACGTTGACTTCAGCCAGCATGTCCTTCCGCTCGGCCGCAGACTCTGGGCAGGCGTAGATGGTGGCGTGAAACCTGTGTGATACGTCCCCAAGGCCTCCATCACCCACTGGCTCCTAAGCCATCGGGTACAGCCTTGGGCTGGAGGGCGGCCTTCTGGAACAGCCACCTCCTCGGCAATGAGCAAGTGGGCCCACGGGAGTCCTTGAAACGGTCCTCAGCTACCGGTGAGAGCTCTCCTTCCCGGCCCCGCAGGACCTGACAGTCAGCTGAATTTCCAGCACCGACTTGTCAGCCCCGGAAGCGATTCTAGAGCCCCCTGGGCCTTAGGGAGACCACAGGGAGCTGCATTTTCCCGGGGCGCCCTGCCCAGCCCACCCTGAGCCCCCCAGGCCGCAGGCCCAACTCACCCTTCACAGATCTTCCTGATCTTCTGCCTCAGCTGCTCGCCTTGGTAAAATATGATGAAGATGTTCTTCGTAACGTTTTCTTTCTGGAAAAGCAGGACACGTTAAAAACAGAATCTTTTCTGCTTTACACACAATAGAGAGAATAGGAAGAAACGGAAGATTTATTAACAATGTGTATCATGAAATTAGAAGAGTTTAACCCCCTGCAACTCATGCAAGCTTGTTTGTCACTGCAGTCAGTGGTGGGTCCCAGGACGAGAGCTGTGTCTCACAGAGACACAAATGGACAAGCCACATTGAGGGATTTAGGGCCCTTGGTGACTCCATGCATGTCACTGCAGAACTGCGTTTTCTTCTTTCTTCATTTATTGGCAAGTTGGTTTTGCATCCCATTCACACACATTGTTTGTTGCAAAGCCCCAGAATGCAGCACTCTCCCACTCCCGCCCTGTGGTTCTCATTTCCATTCGTCCTTTCCCAGACCTTCCTGCCTTCTGACACTTCTCCTGGGCACATGCTGACCTTGACCCTGAATGACTGTTTGCTCTAAGAAGTGCACATTTCCCTACTGTCCTTGTTTGCGTGGTAGGTCTGTTGACCAGATGAAGGATGAGAGGTGAGTTTCGTTCCAGGCGTGGGGACTTAGAGCCTCAGTCTCAAAGCTGCCACCAGGCTCTATCAGACCAGTCAGGCTGATGTTTTCCCAGTTTGGGTTCTGTTTTCTATTTCTTCCTACTCTCTCTGGGCCCTCCTGTCCTGAGCCCTCTCGGAGTGCTAACTGGACCCCATCCAGCTCCTGACGGCCTCTTACTCCTTTGCACTGTTTCTATGCATCTGTTTCTCCCTTTTCTTTGCTGCAGACAAGGAGAGGCCGAGAGCCACACTTGGATGGTTACTCACAAGCTTTCACGGCCAGTCACTCCTCGCCCCAGTGGACTGGAGAACTCTGTCCTCAGGGCCTGTCTTCGACGGCCCCAGACAACTGCGTCCTCATTCACAGGGTTCCCAAGGCTGCAATCTTTCAAAAGTAGATCACTAGACCTCTCTTCTGAAGCTCTTGTGGGTGGACTTTAACCACTAACCTTAAGATAAGTACGTGACCAGCAACAAACGAATAGAAAAATTTTGGTACATTCACACAATGGAATATCAGACAGGATTGAAAAACAATGAACCCATAGTCATTACACAGCATAGGGGGGCCTAGAGAACATTATGCTGAGTGAATTATCTCAGTCACAAAAGGATAAATACTATATAACACCACTGTTATGAAATAGGACAGACAGGGAGGTGAGAAGCTAATGGGAAAAGAGTTGATAGATAAACACTGTCGTAGAACAGATGAGGGGAAGAACTGTCTGAAAGGAATATATGATTAGGCATTATACATATGATAGCAATCTCAAAGGGTGCATTGCTGAGAGGGCCGAGAAGGGCGCAGGGGAGGAAGGGAAGAAAATATGCAACAGAAAAAAAGGAAGAAAAAAATTCTAAATTTAATTAAAAAGTTCACTGGGGGGCGGTAAGGGAGGAGGAGGGAGGAAAATGTGCAACAATGAATGAATGAAAATCCAACTTTTCTGTAAATGTCCATTAAAATTACAATAAGATAAAGGGTTCTTTAAAAAAAAGATAAAAAATAATAATAAAAGTAAGTGAATCCTCTAACAGTTTGTCCTCTTTGGGGCCTCCAGAAGTTGTGTTGTTGATTGCCTTCAAGTTGAGCATGACTCATAGGGACCCTATGAACAAAAGGCCTGAAGCCCCTCTACAATTTTTTACATTTATCAAAGTTCATAGTGTTGTTTTAGGAAGTGGATGCATCCTCCCAATCTCACAGGTGATAGTTTGAATCTAACACTCTTAAGGCCTCAAGGACTGGCTAATGGATGCAGTCATCACTCTGTACTAAGGTAATCTAAGATTTCTTAAACTGAACATCTTAAAGTGGGAAAGGGTCTTAATCCAGCAGAGCTATTCAGCCTGGAGCCCTTTCTTTCTCCCCACCCCGTAATCACTGGGAGTTACTGCCCTCAAACTACAACATGCTAATTGCACCAACTCCCTGTGGGGCACTGATAAGGTCCACTGGACTGGTCTGGGAATGGCCACCGCCCAGAACACCTGGACCAGAAGAGCTGCTGTAAAGATTTGTCACACCCATGTCCTGTCCCTTGCCCTGCAGGCCCTCCTTGTGGTCTCCAAGATGAGGAGAAAGTTCCAGAAGCTCCTATCTCTTCCCCCCACCCCACCCCCACCCAGTCCGAGCTCTCCTACTCATTGCTGTGGAGCGTGAAGACTCCTGGCTGGGCCTGCAGGAGGCTTTTGGAGGCTGCACATCTCTCTCCCACAGAGCCTGGGGTGGATTCGAACCACCAGAGAGGCTGCCTGTGATTAGCAGTGCCACTTTCTACAAACTGCCACCAGAGTTCCCTGTTGCCCGTGTACCAGCATATAAGACAGCTTCCATCTCCCCATCCCACCCGCTCTCTGAGATTCCTTTTTCCCCTACAGGCTTTGGGGTAACCCTCTGACTAGTGGTATCAGCATCACCCGAGAATTTATGAGACATGCCCGTTTTCAGGACTCACCCCAGAGCCTCTCGTCAGGGTTAGCACTTAACAAGGCCATGAGAGGCCAATGAGCACTGAGGCTGGAGAAACTCGGGCTGAACTGTGGCTTGTCAACAACACGCTGATACTAGAGGCAAGTTTGAGCTGCTCAGGGAATCCAAGCAACTCCAGGGGCCTCACTCCTTGCCGTGGAGTCAGAACTGATTCATAGCTGACCCTCAGCGGGTTTCCAGGCTGTCACGTGCATGGGAGGAGACAGCCCACTTCCCCCGCAGAGCCACTGGATTTGAACTCGCAGAGAGGTGAGGGTTTTGGGTTGGCCACGCAACTCCCTACCGACTACCCCACCTGAGCTGCCTACGAGGAAGCAGCAAGGTGCAGGAGGAACCCAGGTGGCAGAGTGTGTAATGTGCCAGACTGCTAGCTTGAAGGTCATCAGTTCAAACCCACCAGTTGCTCTACTAAAGAAATAGACAAAAATGGGGCAGGACTACATTCCGCCAGGGTTGCTGTGTGTTGGGATTGATTCTCCGGCAGCAGGTTGACCAGTCAGCCCTTGAAATAGTCAGAGCTGCAAACCAAAAGGCTGACACTTGGGACCCACCCTGTTGCTTCACAGGAGAAAGGCCTGGAAAGCGTTTTCATAAGGATGGCGGCTTTGGGCAGCCTGTGGGGCAGCTCTCCTCTGTCCTGGGTCATCTCAGGTCATCATCCACTCCCCAGTCCTTGAGCCGACCTTTCAAACGTGTGGGTGACAGAGAGAAGAGGCCAGGCAGGGGGCCGAGCAGAGAGAGAGCAGAGCTGAGCATCGGAGAAGTGGAGCCTGGGGGGGACTCCGGGAGCTGGGTACGCACGGTGGTGGGGTCCTCCAGGGGCACGGCCATCTCACTGAACCTCAGGTAAATGTTCCCTCGGCAGACGCGCCACAGCAGCCTCTCGAAGGCAGACATCCGCTCCCGGTCCACCACGCCGGCCGTGAACCTGGGGTCACAGTGAGCTGCTGAGGCCCCGGGGTGGGACAGAGAAGACCTCCCGGGACAGGGGTGCGGGACCCAAGGGCCTTAGGACCCATCCCAACACAAATACTGCAAGGAAATAAGTCACGGTTACACATCATTTCTTGTTGTTGTTAAGTGCTGTTGGGTTGACCCAATGAACAACAGCCCTGAATCCTGTCCCATCCTCTGCAACCTCACCATCTCCGACACACTCGAGCTCGGCACCATCACTTTGATTACAACTCACAGCTTCCAAATGCAGACAGATCTGAGCCCTGCCCTGCCCTGTGCCGCCCTCCTGATTTCAGCAACGCTGGGGTCATTGTCCCACTCTCTGTGTCCGTCCATCTCGTTGAGGCCTTCTCTCTTTCCCTGATTCTCTGCTTTTCCAAACATGGTGTCTTCTTCCAAAGCCTCGCCCCTCTTGACCACATTCCCACAGGAAGGGAGAGGGAGGGATACCATCTCAGCTCTCTGGAGCACTTGGCTTGCCCTTCCTCCAAGAAAGACTTCTTTGTTCT